CTTCAGATTTTGAACTCATGCTTGATTTGTAAAAAAACTAGTTGGTAAAGTCTCAGGGATCCCCGGGGATTCTAAAAATACACGTTTGAAAATATATATTTCGAAATCTAGTTTCGACTTTTGTTGCGTATTAATTACTCTGGATTTTTTCTATAAAAGATTATCATATTTCGAAACGTAATCTGTAGACTATTCTAGAAATGATCTACGATCCCGAAACGTGATCTGTAGACTATTCTAAAATGATCTACAAATTTTGAAAAATCCCCGACTGGAATATAGGTCGTTAAGAGGAGATTTTCATAGTAAATCGCAAATTTAGTTTCTTACTAGCACTATTAACGAGGTTTTTTGACAGAGTACGAAAATTACTAATTTCTCGTATTCCGCAAAAAAACCTCGTTAATACCTTGTTAATAGTGCTAGTAAGAAACTAAATTTGCGATTTACTATGAAAATTTCATCTTAACGGTCTATATTATTAATAATTTATACTAGATCCAGAATAATTTGACGCTATCGCAAAAATCCAAGATTTACGCAAAGTATATTTGATCCCATCTTACTTTCATGACAAATACATGAAGAATAGTTTACCGTTAAATTATGGTAATTTTACGATCAAATGGTTTTAATGTAATTCAGCTAACCGAAATTTACTTTTTAAATAATCGAAAAGTTATTTTTGAATTTGAAATTATCATGATAATTACCTCCAATTACCAAAAGAACAATTAAATTTAATAATGATTGATCGCTTAATTAACCAAATAATTGGAGATCCAATTCTATTTATAGGCTGTATTGATACAAAATTAATATTATTGTTTTCATAACACAGTCGGCCTAATATTCAAACCGGACCCTGGAAGTACGTATAATTTAGTTCTATTTAAATAGTATGTAGCTTTTTGCAAGCAAGTTGTGTAATTATAAATAAAAAAAAAGTAAAATCAATGATTTTTAGAATAAAAGGACAATCTCAGGGTGTTCTCATTAATGGTTTTTAATAGCCAGTTTCTAAGTTTAGACATTTTACACAAAAACGGATAAATTTCATATGAATTTTGTTATCCGCGGTTAAAAGTATTACGTAGTAATTTCCGAATTTCCGATAAATGATTTGCACTAGTACGTACGTACGTACGTACGGACGTACGTACGCACCTAAGGTTGGAATGGTTACGCGAATGGAACTCAAAAAACTAGTATCCATTGGCTCCATTCAGAGCTCATTCGCAGCTCCATTGAACTCCATTGCCAACTCTAGTATGTACGTACAAAACAAACTCGATAGAAGTTTTAATAAACGGCACCATTCGGCTTTGTGTTTGAAATTCTCGGATATTAACCAAACAATTAGGTGAATTAAAGTTTCATTTACCATTACAGTTAAGTTTAGGTAATATTTGCATTACAAACATTGAAGTTTCTGTAGCATTAGTAATGTACGTGCCAGATTGATAAGTAAATGTCATCTTTTAGGCATTTATGTCAAATCTATTTCTTATACACATTTTCCAAATATCCCTTTTGTGTGTGTAAATCAAATATTTCCGTTATCGACTAAATAAAAGTTTCACGGTTTTGTCAATAAAGTCAAGTCCCGTTCGGAGGACGATAGACTAAAAACCTAAGTTCCAAAATAATAAACTTTTCTGGATTTTGGTCTTTTGAACCTCATTTGGAATTGAATTAATGCTAACACTTATTACCGTATTCTTCCGAAACTAGGCTCCCTTTTTTTAATGTAGAGGTGCTTATTTTCGGATATAATCTCAACTAACGCTAATAATCTGATGACTTGTTTATTTTTAATGTATAAGAAGTGTGTATATGAATGGTAGAGCACTTACATTCGAAGATGCTTATTTTCGGAGGAATACGGTCCAAACTGTTTGGGTGACATTGCTAGCTTCGATCACATTGAAATTCTGACAAGAAATACGTGATGAAAGCAGGTTTAAAGATAGAAATTAATGGTATATTTGAGTTTTATTGATTTTACTTTAATCATTTATTTTAAATGACATTAATTCAATAATTGGACCGAAAGACATTGCTGCGCCAAAATGTAACCCTTGGTTACCATTTCACTACCACCTCTCAGTTAGCTGACTGTCCTTGTAACGAAACTAGATATACCTTTTTTTATTGAAAAGAATAGTGTAGATAAAAAGAAAACTCGTGTATATTAATAAAATTATCAACGGAGTTTTTGTATTTTGCACTCAATTTGAAACTCCTAATACATATCTAAATTCAGAATTTGTATTTGTATAAACCTGTGATTTGATAATAGCATGCGGTGCATACGTAATAATTCTAATTAGGTGTAACACAGTCGCCTGTCTGCATTCCGTTATTAAAAGGGATGTTTAGCTTTATTTGCTGTTAAATATCATCTCTAATCCTTTTATTTCTATTAACATCCACAATCCTATCTTCAATCTCGGAAAAGTAGTTCAACCTTTGACTTTAAAACAACTTTTTATAGAGGTACCGTTTATATCTGCATAAAAAAAAAAAAAAAAAACTTCCTTTCTTTTGTTGCATGTGTTTTTCCGTACCGTGCATTTAAATTTCTTTTTTTTGGATATTCTAGGTTAAACTTAAATAATTTAACTTTTTTATTTTTATTCTGGTTGACCATGATACTTATATTTGACTTGTATGTTGAATAGATATGGCTTCTAAGGTGCGAAAAGTAACTTCGAGACAGAAAAAAAATGTAAAAGAAAAAGATACGGTGAAAATTGAAGAGAGTAATTATTATTAAATATTTTGATTAACTTGAAAATAATTTTTAGCTAATTTTGATTCTGATTAAAACCATTTAAAACGTTATTTCTGTTTGATTTGTCGGTTATATTAGCTGAATTTGATCCAAGTCTTCTGCCTCTTCCAGGTAAGACTATAATACTGTAAAGCCTTTATTAATTTCAATGAATTACAACTAACCGGTAATTGTTCGTTTGTTACGATTGTTTCTATAGCATCCTCTACTAAGCAGGCTACACAACGTCTTTATCGAGAATTGAGATTAATTGTGCATAAACAGGACACTCCCTCTAATGATTTGGGTTTTTATGTAAAGCTTGATCAACTGCATTCAATCTATCAATGGGTTGGTATAATCTTATTTCGTTTATATATCCGTATTTACATGTAACATAGATTTATATGTTGATTTTAATCCATTTAAAAGGTTGTACAACTTAAAAACTTTGATCCATCTATTCCATTGGCCCAAGATATGGCACGACATAATGTGGAAAGCATTGAACTTGAAGTTCGTTTTGCTCCTGATTATCCAAATTTACCTCCGTATGTTTTGTGGTTTATATGAATTCTTAAAGGATCCTTTGTTAAATCAATATTTCTTATTAAATTTTGATTATTATTTTTGTTATTTTATTTATTTCATTATCATTATTTTTTTTTTCTTTAGCTATATTCGTGTCCTCCGGCCAAGACTTTTGAGATTTATGAATGGCGGTGGTGGTCATGTAAGTATTTAATTTCTATTATATTTATTATTATGGCCTGCTAATGAAATGATCAATAAGTTGATTAACTTAAAATAGGTAACGGCAGGTGGATCCGTTTGTATGGAATTGCTAACATTGGGTAATTCTCATGATCGAGGTTGGTACCCAGAATATACTATGGAAGCAGTGTTACTGCAGGTATGCCTAAATTTTACATTTATACATAATCGTACTTTGAATCAATGTGATTTCACATATAATAATATTTGTTTAGGTGAAATTAGCATTGAGTTCCTTGAATCCACCAGCAAGACTTGATTATGATTGGAAAAGGGATTATAATGCACGAGTAAGTAATTATTGCTCTTCGTTTTTATTATCTTTTATTATTCTTTTTTTAATACATGTATGATTTTCAGGAGGCAATGGACGGTTATATTAGATCTGCTAATCTTCATGGATGGGTCATTCCACCTCATTGGACTACTTTATTTAAACGTTAATTTTTATATTAACATTGTTATAGAATGAATAATTTTAGTAATATAGCTTTTTGCTTTTTTTTCTTTTCTTGAATGTCGATACGTTTTAATAAAGCTAATGAAATGTGTGTGTTGCTTTTTTATTACATTTGTCTCTTACTAGGATAGTAAAAAAAAGTTTTTTTGGTAACTTTTACAATAACAATTATTTTTTGGACACTGCGTATACAAGCTTAAGGCGGGAGTTGTTGCTAGTAGCAGACATTTACGATTCGTTTCCATATAACCGTTATCTAGCTTACACTATTAGGGACAGAACTTTGTATGGTATAGACTTGGGTTGTAAGATAATAATGCATATTTAAAAAAAAAATTCATTTTTTTTTAAAAAAAAAAACTATTTTTAAAAAAAAATTTTTTTTTAATTTGCTTTTACCGTATATTACCGTATATGCATTACTAGTATTGTTCGTTGCAAATATTAATTGTATTTCAATATGGGTTTCAGCTTGTCGTCAAATTTTATTTTATATTTATGTATATAATATTAAAAAGTCAGAAGTGTTGCAAACTATAAAAATGTCTATCGCAAAACAATATAATAAATGTCATAATGTTGTAACAATCTAATAATACGTCATATTATAAGATAATAACATATATACTATATTTTATAATATATATATAATATGATATAAACTATACGTATATCTACACTTATATACCTAACATTAATTTTACTATTCATTTTATTAATATATAATAACATACCGTAATAACGCGCTGGGGTGTAATTTCGAATTTTGGCCTAAATTAAGCTTAATTCGGGCAAATTTCGAAATAAATCGCATGGGCGTTATTCCACCAAATTTCGTGGGTTGCTTATAATCAGTAACATGAATATTTTTTAATTTAACTCTTTTTAAAAAAAAAATTGTTTAGTTTACACATATATAGTGTATATATACACATGGTATATATTAATTAATGATTTATACATTTTATTTATGTAATACAGTATAAAATTAAATTTTATATTTCATTTAGAAAGTCTAATCATCTATATTTTGCTTATTAGTATTGATAATTTTTTATTGCGAAAATCTTGGATTTTTGCGATAGCGTCAAAATATTCTGGATCTAGTATAAATTATTAATAATATAGGCTGTTAAGAGATTTTCATAGTAAATTGCAAATTTTTACTAACACTATCAACGAGTGGGGTGTTCCACGCCCTATGATTTACACAAACATAGTGCAGCACTATATGATAAAATGCACTATGTAAGATTTTTGAAATTTTGTCGATCATTTTATTAGAAAAATTTAACATAATAATTCGATATATTTTTAAAATGAAATAACTTCTGTTCTAATGAAGCAAATTAAATTCTGTAACTTGTAAATGAAATATTGGGAATATGGTTTTAAAACTATGTTGAGACATTATGTGTACGTGTATTTTCTTTTTTGGTAGTGATCATTGGTGTTAATTCTTTGATGAGGATATGTCAAATTTCTCACTTTTTGTCAAAATTTTGAAAGATATAGCAAGTGAGGTGGTGAAGAGGAGTTTGGTTTGTGAGTAGCTATAAACTTTGATAGAGGGTATGTTAAAAACTCACTTGTTGTTCTTCTTTCTATAGATTAACTATTTTCACTTTGTCAACAGAATCTTTGTTTCTACTAAAATTTTTTGTACAAGGGTATTACCTTGCTAGTTATCTTGTACAAGAACATTTTTAATTTGCTTGTTGAATATATAGAGAAGTCTAGTAGAAAAACACAAGTACTTTAATCTTTGTAAAAATTGTTACTTATAGTTGTCTCTTTTATCTTCTCTAACAAGTTTCTGTTTTTGTTAGTCATAAGTTTAGTTTAAGTGATTGTTGAAAAGAGTGATAGCTTAGTATTGAATGCTCTATATTCTACTTTTTGTATTAATTATTTTATAAATATTATATTTTATAAACAAAAATTAAAATAAAAAATTTTTGAACTAATTTATTACAAAATAATATTTTAGATTTATTTATAGAAAGTTATTAGATCAAGATCATTTGGTATGCTGCAAAGAATAAGAGATGAATTAAAAGACTGCTGAAGACCTTGCAGCAAATCTAGTCTGGGCAGCTTTACTAGAAGAAACTAAAAGAAAAACTGACAAGGACCTTCTAGAAAGAATACTTTGAAGAGAATCTAAAGAAAAATTCTACAAAGTAAGATCCAAGGTAATTAAAGATCTGGTTCAAGAAAATATAATAAAAAGGATACAGGAGTCCTTACAATTGAGTAAAGAAGTCAAGACATATATCGAGCTTGCTTTAGATATATTTTGGAATTGCTTTCATAAGAATATTTGAAAAGGAAGATATGAACTTCTTCACAAATAGAAAATTAGTAGAGGAATCATAGTCAAAGATAAAAATAAGAAAACAAGATTCTAACAGAGAAGGAAAAGCAAGACCAGAATATAATAAACTAAGATCCAAAGAAAGAAGTTTAAGACAATTTAATAGATTAGATAAAATAGATAAAAAACAAAAAAAGAAGAAGAAAAAGGAGGGTTTAAAGAAGATAGAAAACCATTAGATTAATAGTTTTAAAAATTTAATTCAAAACAGCTACAAGCCCTTTTGGTATAGCTTGTATAGCTAACTTGGTATTAACCTTCTGGTCTTGAAAGAATTTCTCCAGATCAGTATAGCAGACTGCTTCTAAGCATCTATAAGGTAGTCAGGGATATTAAGTCTAAATATTAAGCTTAATATTATATAATTTATTTATATAATAATCTTAATAAAGAATCACTAGCAAGATTGCCAAAGATTAAAAATATATATATATCAGTCACATGATATGTCATATCTAATTTTTTTTATATATAAACTTATAACAAAAATATATAAAATTAAATATAAACTTTGAAACCTGATGGTTTCTTCATTTACATATTAATTTTAAATTAAATTTTATGAATAAATACATCAAGAAAAGATGAAAAAAATGTGGTTTAAGCCGAATTAAAATTTTGTAATTTTGCTACAATTTAAAAATATAACTTTGCCAAGAGAAAAAATTTAGCAAGTTTAAAGTAAGAATTATATATAAAATTATATTCTGAACAACTTCTGTCTAAGTGTACAAAAAGGTTATCTTAGTAAAAAAAAAGTTTTCTATATACTAATGTCAAAATTTTCAGTTTTTCTATGTAAAACCTTTTTTTCTGCTTAGATAACCTGTTCTGACCTCTTAAGCAAATTTGTTCAGCACACAATTCTACGTATTTTATATCTTGCTGATTTTGTTTTTTTGAACATTTTACTAAGTGAAAGATTGGATCAAAGGTTATACAAAAAGTTTTTTTAAATTTTTTTTTTAAAAAAAACTTTTTTTATGTAACTTTTAATCCAATCTTTTATTTAGTAAAATATTCAAAAAACAAAATCGGCAAAATATATAATATGTAGAATTGTGTGCTAAACAAATTTGCTTAAGAGGTCAGAACAGGTTATCTAGCAGAAAAAAAAGGTTTATATAGAAAAACTGAAAATTTTGACATTAGTAAATAGAACCCTTTTTTTTACTAAAATAATCTTTTTGTATACTTAGACAGAAGTTGTTTAGGATATAATTTTACATATAATTATTGCTTTAAAACTGTTAAATTTTTTCTTTTAGCAGAGTTACATTTTTTTTTTTTTTTCAGTGTTAAGATGACCTTTTGGTCAAGTGTGCTTTATTGATTTCGAATATGTTATATATATTTGGAGGGTATATCTAGTCATACCTGCACCTTTTAAGCACCTATTTAAGTAGTCTGCCTATTACTAGATTCTACACTAGTTGCTGTACCTGCAACCCAACTAGGGGGTTACTCATATAAACCCTCTGCGTCTATATACTCCGACACCAGTATATAATTATTTATTTTTCTCCGATTCGACGGTGGCCTAGTTGGTGTTAGTGATTTTACCTATTCATTAATAGCAGGGGCCCCAACCCTGGTTCTTGACTTCCAAGCTAGATGGCCTGATAACTGTGTACTTTTTCTCTGCATCTAGGCAGGTACTCTGAAAGGCAGCTAGTAGGTCTCTTACTATCACCACGATTTGCCTACAATTGCAAGAGCTTTCTAGCTAGATTCCCGGTCCTCTTTCCTATTTGCAGTGGCCTGGTTGGTATGGGTGCCTTCCCTAATACCCTGTATTTCATCCAGTTCAGTTCATATGGGTTTCGTTTCCTGGGTCTAACCTTTACAGTAGCTCTGTCGAAGATCTGTGCTATCTCTCTACTTGGGACTTGCCAAGTGGGCTTCCGTATTCGCAGTTCTCTGGATTTACATGGCCTGGAGGCTTATCTTGTGTTTGCACTGCCCTATTATCAGTTTGTATTCCTTTGTGTAACCTTATGTTATACGAATTCCCCAGACCTCCCAGTCTTGCTGGTGCAACCATAGTTACAAGTATCCTATCCCAACTGATCATTGAATACAGTTAGCCATAACACAAGCAGAATTTTCGAATTTTCGTCACTAGTAAGATTTGAACTCTTGACCTGCCACTTGAAGGGGTGACAACTTGACTACTTCGCTATGTTGCCACACCAGAGTTACATTTTTAAATTGTACAAAAATTACAAAATTTTAATTCAGCTTTAAAAGCATTTTATTCTCCTCTTCTTGATGTATTTATTTGTAAAATTTAATTTAAAGTTAATATGTAAGAGAAGAAACA